TTCAGTGACCTTGACAGGAGCAGCCAGTGGCATAAGAAGGGCAAAAGTCTGGGCTCTAGAGAAGAGGATAAGGAGAAGAACTGGAAGCAGAAGATGAAAGAAAGAATTTTCCTTCATTTAACAATAGTTTTTAAAAAACAATGAGTTAATAGCAAATACGGTTAGTTATTTTAAATGAATATAACTAAAATTTTGGAAATCTCATTGGTGTTTCATGGTTGCTAAATACAGTGTATGCTAATATGAATGAATTTCAGGTATTTTAATTACAGATTTAGTATATTTCTGTGTAAGATAACTGACAAATTATTAAGTCAAGGAAGTTCCTCTCTATTCGTAATTTAAGGTTTTATCATTTTTTAAAGCATGGTGATTAGTTTTTTCCCCCTGCATTTATTGAAATGGCTCTAAGATTTATCTTCTTTATTTGTGTTAGATTACATTGATAGACTTTTTTTTCTGATGTTGGACCATCCTTTCGTTCTTAGGAAAAAATCCTACTTGGTCACATAAAATTTTACTAGTATTACTACTAGTGTTTTTATTTTGTGCTTTTTAAAATTTATTTTATCACCTTTTACTCTAGAATAAGATTGATTTTTAAATTGTCTTATATTATCATTGTCTAATTTTGATGCCAAGTTTATATTAGCCTGTTAAAATGAGTAGTTTTATCTCTTTTACTATTTTTTATTATTATACTTTTAAGTTCTGGAGTACATGTGCAGAATGTGCAGGTTTATGTATACACATGCCATGGTGGTGTGCTGTGATCTGCATTAGGTATTTCTCCTAATGCTATCCCTCCCCAAGACCCCAACTCCCCCATTCCTCCCCTAGTGCCCCCCACCCCCTGACAGGCTGCAGTGTTCGATGTTCCCCTCCCTGTGTCCATGTGTTCCTGTTGTTCAACTTCCACTAATGAGTGAGAACATGTAGTATTTGGTTTTCTGTTCTTGTCTTAGTTTGCTGAGAGTGATGGTTTACAGCTTCATCCATGTCCCTGCAAAGGACATAAACTCATCCTTTTTTATGGCTGCATTGTATTCCATGGTGTATATGTGCCACATTTTCTTTATCCAGTCTATTATTGATGGTCATTTGGGTTGGTTCCAAGTCTTTGCTATTGTGAACAGTGGCACAATAAGCATACGTATGCCTGTGTCTTTATAGCAGAATGATTTATAATCCTTTGGGTATATACCCAGTAATGGGATTGCTGGGTGAAATGGTATTCCTGGTTTTAAATCCTTGAGGAATCACCACATTGTCTTCCACAGTGGTTGAACTAATTTACACTCCCACCAACAGTGTAAAAGCATTCTGTGTTTCTCCACATCCTTTCCAACATCTGTTGTTTCCTGACTTTTTAATGATTGCCATCTTAACTGGCATGAGATGGTATCTCAATGTAATTTCAATTTGCATTTCTTTAATGACCAATGATGATGAGCTTTTTGTCATATGTTTGTTGGCTGCATAAATGTCTTTGAAAAGTGTGTCCATATCCTTTGCTCACTTTTTGATGGGGCTGTTTGTTTTTTTCTTGTAAATTTGTTTAAGTTCTTTGTAGATCCTGGATATTAGCCCTTTGTCAGATGGATAGATTGCAAAAATTTTCCTCATTCTGTAGATTGTGAAACGATTATATGTTTCTTGAAGATCCAAGGAAGCTACCTTTGAAAACATCTGGGCTTGGTGTCTCTTTCAAGAAGGGGACACTTAATTACCAATTTAATATCTTTAAGAGTTAGTGGCTTACATAGCTTTTCTATTTCTTGAGTCAGTTATGGTAATTATTTTTTCCTTCTGGAAAATTGCCCATTTCGTTTATTTTCAAATAGATTCACATAAAGTTTATTGTGATTTTTTAAAATCTCTATTATATCTGTAATTATGCCTTTTTCACTCCTCATATTTTTTAATCAATTTTGTGATGTTTGTATTTAATAGGTTTCTAAAAGCCAACTTAATTTGATTCCTGTAGTTTCTTTGTTATCAATTTAATTGCAACAAATTAATTTTTTTCCTTTCTTTTACTTCCTTCAGATTTACTCTTTTTCTGTTTTCCTAAATTGAAATGCTTCATATTGCATTGTTTTTCTATTGCTGTGGATTTCTGTTTTTTCAATATATTTGTTTATTATTTATTATTATTGTTGCTCAAATTGTCCAAAATGTGGCCAGAAAAACCCCTTCAGTTGATACTTGTATTCTTTTGACATGTTTCCATTAAACTTTGAGCACTTCCTTATTTTCTGGCAGAAGATTTCCCAAACCTACCATGTATTTTCTCCCTGCCCTCACCTTAGAATTAGCCGTTTACTAATGGCTAATTAGTCTTGACTGAAGGGCTGTCCAGTGTCTTTCTACTTCACCATTTTTCTATCTTTAGAGTTCACCATCTTTGCCATGATAAAGTTAACACACATTATTCTCCTTTGTATAACAGTTTTCATTGTTAAAATGATTTTGTGGAGGGCCACTTGGGAAATGGGAAGGAGTACTTCTTTTTACCACTAATGGAGTGATTCTGTATCTGTAACCTTCTTAAAATCTGATGGTAAAGCCATCCTTACTTCAGCTCCATTGGGTAGTATATGCCCTTAAAACAACTAGACTATTTAAAGTATTAAGATACCTGGCTAAAATGGATGGCTTTAGCTGTATACCCTAATGATACTGCTAGCTGAAATTGAAATGAAAGCTTAGAACACATAACAGGTGTCCTTGGGACAGAAAAAAAACCAGGTAACTTGGAGTTTCCATGGGAATAATTCCTTTGGAAGAATTACTTAGGAAGCTTTTGAGTTCTGCTTGAATTTCATTAAGGCACTCAGAAATCGTATTGTTTTCAGAGTATTTTGGTTCAGAGAAGCTCAATTTATTTGAATTTAATGTAAAGTTAAGAGGATGAGTTTTGGAGCCAGCTCTGTTGCTTTTAGCTCTGTGTTGGCTATGGCTCTTAATAAGAATGAGTATTTAAAAGAGACAGAACCCAGCTCCATGACCTAAAATGTGCTAGAAGCTGCAGGGTAATAGAGAGAGATAATCCTGACTCTACTTCAAAAGTTTTAATGGAGATTACAGAACAGACAATTCTGAATCTAGAAATGCAAAGGCAGCTCCTATTGCTATGTTACAGTTTCAGGATAGAATTCTAGACATCTTCTGACTTCTGATGGTGAGATGAGGGGATTATTGATACAGATATCATACCTTACCACTTTAAAGATCAACCATAGATTTTTGTAGAAATGCTTTAAAAAATGAATGAAAAATTAACATATAAGCTTCCAGTATTTGATCTTCAAATACTTAAAAAATTAACTGTATGGGGTGAGGTGGCATACTCCTATCATCGCATCTACTTGGGAGGCTGAGACAGGAGGATTGTTTGAGCCCAGGAGTTTGAGTCCAGCCTGCGCAACATAGTGATACTCCGTCTCTAAAAAACTCAGAAAATCATGTGATTGGAAGTAGAAGCTAAATGATTGAAACTGTCATAGCAACCATTAATGCTAATTTGAATCTAATTCAAATAATTGTCTCAAAAAAATCAAAAAGGAAACCCTTTGTAAAAATGATTCTTTTCCATTTAATTTAGTGATTTTTCTATTCTTGTGTTTTAGATTGTAAACTCTTTGTAATATAAACTATATTTATAGTTTATATTCTCTACAGTGTTGGTAAAGTATAGACACATTCATTTATGCAATAAGTATTTTCCAGCTGTTGGAGATCCTTAGCAAAAACTTAAGTTCTCCATCCCCCTCACTGGCACAAATCACTGTACAGTTGTCATCTTTGGCAGAGAGCTGAAGTAAAAAATCTTGGCCAGAATTATTTTGGTTAAATAAGGCAAACCATTGCAGTGTTGAGTTATTGAACACTTTTTAAATTTGAAAACTAAGGTTTTGCTTTATCCAAATTATAATCATTTGTATTATAATTATTTGCTTAACAGAAGTCAAATAAAGTTCTTAGCTTGTTAGTCACTCCCAATAAGACACAGTGAATGCTTATTTCGCTTTCATCTATCTCCTCCCTCATGTTCACTAATTTTCTATTGTTTTTCCTGGTTCTTCCTTTCATAAAGTGAACATACTCTTTTTTTCTTAAAACGAAAAAGAAGCTCTGTTTCACTAGGCATTAATTCTTTCTCTCTCTCTCTGGTGGTGGTGGTTGTTTTTGTTTTTGTTTTTGTTTTTTTTGTATTTTTTATAGAGAATAGAGTCTCACCATGTTGCCCAGGCTGGTCTTGAACTCTTGGGCTCAAGTGATCCATTCTTCTTGACCTCCCAAAATGCTGGGGTTACAGGTGTGAGCCACTGCACGCAGCCAGTTCACTTTTTGATTTGATAAACAGTTCTGTTTTGGGGGTTAGTTATTCCCACAAGAAAAGAAAAGTATATCCCTTGGTTCTCAGACCCATGTAAATTTTAAAAAATTTAAAAGTAAAAAATTATAGTTAAGTAGGAAAATATTTCTTATCATTCTGGCTGTGAATAAAATAATAGTGAACATTTATTAGTAATGATAATGCCTTCCTCTTCTTTGTTATTTCCCTCCTTTTAGGAGGTACTTCAGTACTTACAAAACTCCAACGATTTTTTTCTCTACCTGACTTTCCTATTAAATATGTAAAAGTTCATGAAATTTTATTTTCTCCTTAATTGTGTATGAATTTTCCGTAGTATTTCTGAACATTTCTCCTGAGCTTCTTAGTATTTCTGCTTCTTAAGGACTTATTCATCTAAAATAATAGTATAACCATCAAATGTTTTATTCTTTGTTTATTTTTTTAATGAAAAAGAGATCATTTTATTGATGAGCCTAGGAAAGAGCATTTAAAATGTGTGAAATGGATATTATTTAATATTATTTCTTTTTTTGAGCAAGTATTACAATGTTAGGTCTACATACTTACTTATCTTTAAAAGCAAAAGTTATTTTCCCCTACTTTGAAATGCTTTTGATCATAACAAACCTTTTTCCAGGATCGTCAGCCTGTGGAACAGGAAAACAAAAAACCCCTTCCAGAAAACATGGATGCATTTGAAAAAGTGAGAACAAGATTGGAAACACAGCCACAAGAAGAATATGAAATCATCAATGTGGAGGTAAGATATCTCATGTCTTTTTTAAAAAAAATTGATATTACCAATCAAAATGCAAATAAGATACCTTGCAGTTTAGAGACATAATCCACATCAAGATTATACTGCTTTTGGCCTTTAAAATAAGCTGAAAAACTTAAAAAGCAAAGACTTTGCAGATTGTGATCACAGATTGTGATCCTTTACATCTTTCAATAAGTATAAATATCAAAACTAAGATGAATTTTCAACTGTAATATATTAATTCTGGTTTTTGCAAACAATCAGTTCTGATTTATAAGTAAATTTAAGAAACAGGATCTCACTGTTTGCCCAGGCTGATCTTGAACTCCTGGGCTCAAGCAACCCTCCCACCTCAGCCTCCCAAAGTGCTGAGATTATAGGTGTGAACCACCACACCTAGCCCTGATATAAAAATTTTTAAATAATTCTAAGGAGAAGTTCCAATTAAACTAGTTCATACTTTGTTATTATTTGAAAATTACTTGATTGTTCTAAATTTTTTTCTTTAGCATAATACCATGAAAGCCAAGCATCTGTTTAACCATTTTATGGTTATCACAGTCATAAATATTCAATCGAAATGAATTGAGGGCCGGGCACAGTGAGTTACACCTGTAATCCCAGCACTTTGGGAGGTCAAGGCAGGTGGATCACCTGAGTTCAGGAGTTCTAGACCAGCCTGGCCAACATGGTGAAATCCCCCATCTCTACTAAAAATACAAAAATTAGCCGGGCATAGTGGCGGGTGCCTGTAGTCTCAGCTGCTTGGGAGGGTGAGGCAGGAGAATCACTTGAACCCAGGATGCGGAGGTTGCGGTGAGCCGAGATAGCGCCAGTGCACTCCAGCCTGGGTGACAGTGTGAGACTCTATCTCAAAAAAAAACAAAAAGAAATGAAATGAATTGAACATGCATGTTGAAAATTTTTTTATAAGATTGGAAAATAGAACCACAATAAGTGAAAATCACCTACATAGTAGAATGGAAATAGTAGGTTAAGAATAAAGAACTCCAAATTCAAATTAACTAGCAGATAACAAATATGTTGTAAGCCACTGAAATCATATCAGTCAATTACATTTAATATGTAGGCGTTAGACAAGAACACCATATTTTGGTAATATTCATTGTCTCAATTTCAAATTGTCTGTCTTGTCATCCCACAGCAGAGGAAATATTTCGTGTAAGATCAAGACTGTGTATAGTTGTTAGTGACAGCATATTTTAAAAGAAAGAATCTCAGAAAGTTATTGACTGGGTTTTCAGGCTAGTCTGAGCCACAGTTTCCTCCTCTGCATCATTTTGGATTATCTTAAAGATGCCACTTGGTTTCTGTTAATTGACTCCCATTGTACAGATATCAGATGTTTCTAAAATATAGCAAAAGTGTTTTGTACAGTTGTGAGAACGGACAGATTTTTATTATACCTTTTCTTTACTGCCTCTTGTATTTATGTATTAAAAACCCCTCTAGTGGTTATGAACATATGAAAATCATATCTTATCAACTGTATTGTAAAAATGGTCCATTTTATATTTCCTATGTGTTCATTCATATACTTCAACAGGTCTGTTTTTTATAAGAGGTCTCATTTCTTCTTCATCTTGAATAGTCAGACCATGAAAAGGTTCATTAAATTATTATTAAGTAAACTGTGTGTTTCTTTTATCATTAGGTTAAACATGGTGGTTTTGTTTATTACCAAGAAGGTTGTTGCTTGGTTCGTTCCAAAGATGAAGAAGGTATGCCACAATATTTCTTTTTACATGATTTTATATTTTTATAGGAAATTTATTAATTTCTTAAAGACACTTTTTTTAAAAATTATTTCTAAATGTTTTTTTAAATGACCACGTTTTAATCTCTGAGTTTATGTAAGACATAGTTAAATACTACACTCAGAAGCTTTGGCAGGGAGAATGGAGATGGGATACAACATTTTTTGGGCATCTGCTGTGTCTTAGGTACTGTGCTAGGCTCCTGACATATGTTATTGATTGTCATTTATATTTGCTTACTTTCTAGGGTCTGTATGGTCTGTAAACACTAAATTAGACTGTAGCAATACCAAATAATGTCTCATAAGTTGATGCATAGAATAATACTGAATAGTGTAAGATAATATTAAATAACATTGTCAGTTTATGTACAAGTTAAGCTGCCATCATTGTTAAAAGAAGCTAGGATATGGCCTCTTACAGAATGGAAATTCTGATTTAAAACATTAAAATACAGTTTTAATTTTTTTAATTACTTTAAAGTAATTTAAATTTTCACTTTCATATTTTTCTTTATGCAGCAGACAGTGATAATTATGAAGTTTTGTTCAATTTGGAGGAACTGAAATTAGACCAGCCCTTCATTGATTGTATCAGAGTTGCTCCAGATGAAAAATATGTGGCTGCCAAGATAAGAACTGAGGATTCCGAAGCATCTACCTGTGTAGTTATAAAGCTCAGCGATCAGCCTGTAATGGAAGCTTCTTTCCCAAATGTGTCCAGTTTTGGTAAGCCACCCACCGAAATAGTCCTCTGTTTCAAAAGGCAACGTAACACTTTTGAAACATTTTTTTGTCCCGTATGAGTGAGGGAGAAGGTGAATGCCTAATCCATATATCCCTGTGGACTATACATCTTCCTATAAAACCTCTTATTCAAGAGCCCTTCCCTTATTTAATTATATATCTAGTTGGATAGTTTTGAAATCTTCATGTTTTTAAAAGAGTTACTATCAGAGTCCAGGTTGTATTTTATATTTTGATTTATCAGTAATTCTTTGCCAAATTATTATTTAGAATACATTTTTACACATTAAGTTGCATCTTAATATTTTATTCAAATTTAAGCTTGAATATGTTTTTTTAATTTTATGTTATCTTACAGAGATGTTAACAGCAAACTGCCCAAAGTCATTACCAAAGAACTTTGGTATGCCTTGAACCTACTTATTTACCAATGGAAGCTGTGACATTTTTAGTAATAGAACTAACTTTAAATTGTATTATTTATCATTGAGTGGTCCGTATGTTACATTTTGTCCTCTCTTTTCATTTTCTGCCATCATTTTCTCCATTGTTTAACTAAATGTTGTTGCAGTGACTTGAAATTATACCCTAGCTGTTGAATTCTAAGACATACATTTTGTACATTTTAACCTCTAAAATCACATTATACATTTTAAACAGTGATGCATATTATACAGTGATGACTTAAAATCACTGTCAGCCAGGTAGCTGTCATGATGTAATTGTGTGCAGAATTCTGTTGACAGCTTCTGGTGGGATCAAGAATCAGCATCAAAATGTGTTTAGTAGTTGGAGATATTCTGTGGCTTGAAAGCAGACAGGGAAGGTTTACGCATGAGAGGGAGATGCAGTATTTCCTCAGACTTAGTTTCAAGTTGTAGAGTGAAACAGAATTCACCTCCTAAAAGCAAATGTGACTTTACCAACGTCTTTCCTAAATATTGAGCATTTAGCTCTTATTTAGAAACTTGAGTACTCTGAGACTGGTAACTACTTGAAAACTTGGAACTGGTATAGTAGTAGTTTATTCTCAGAAAAGCTCTCTGGCTTATATACAATGCAGAGTAGATACAGTCAAATGTTTAGATCAGGCGTCCCCAAACTTTTTACACAGGGGGCCAGTTCAGTGTCCCTCAGACCGTTGGAGGGCCGCCACATACTGTGCTCCTCTCACTGACCACCAATGAAAGAGGTGCCCCTTCCTGAAGTGTGGCGGGGGGTGGGGGGCGGATTAATGGCCTCAGGGGGCCGCAGTTTGGGGATGCCTGGTTTAGATTTACAGGGATAAACTTGCATATCTTCTCATTGGCTTTCAAAATTAGAATGTGCTGTGCCTTTTTTTTTATGGTATACAGATGATTATTTATAATTTTTTTCATTATTTTCTTTCAGAATGGGTAAAGGATGAGGAAGATGAAGATGTTTTATTTTACACCTTTCAGAGGAACCTTCGCTGTAATGATGTATATCGAGCTACTTTTGGTGATAACAAACGTAATGAACGTTTTTACACGGAAAAAGACCCAAGGTACTAAAGTAATCTAATCAAATCTTTTTATCCAGAACATTTCTCCAATTAAAGTACTGACCCTGGTTGACTTAAAATGTTTATTTTGGTTAAAACCAAGAATAATAATGCTAAAATGATCATTCTTTTATTAGTTGTTTGTGTTCAAAATTGGAGTCTTGTAATATTCAAAATCAGAGTAAATACAAATGCATCATTAACAATTTATTATTAAAAACAAATATATTTTGTGAATTATAGTATAGTTGTAACTGCAACATAGTTCATTCATGTAAATTCATAATGCTGACTTAGAACTGCTAGATTGTGAACAGACTGAGTCTGTTTCACCTTTGCATCTTAATTGATAAGCAGGGTGCCAGGTTTATATAGTGCTATTTAGTCAGTGTCTATTGCTTGAGTAAATGGTATATTTAGGTAGGTATCCCTCTTTCAAACTAAAAACCCCTTGTCCCTGATGATTGTTGAGCACCTTTTAACCATTAAATTTTTAGTAATATATAGAAGAATTTAAAGTATGTCTTGCTACTAAATTATGAATTAAAACTAACTCAAAAATGTGTGATTATGCTAGTTGAAAAAATGTGAATATATGTTATGGTGTCAATGGTATATCAAGGAAAAAAGATGCATTTTTAAAAGGTAGAAAGCAAATATACCCAAAGTCCTAACAATGATTTTTTTTCTATTTTCTTTCTTTTTGTAATAAGCATTGTTATTTTTATAATCATAGAGAAAATACATTTTAAATTTAAAAATAAGTATCAATAGAAATAATTGGAAAAAAGATTAACCTCTGGTTGTTTACATTTCTTGTATTCTCTTAGACACATTTTACCATAGAGCCACTGGTGTTCTCGCTTCCTGTAACCACATATCTACCAGTTATTTGATCAAGTAGTTTATTTTTGATTTGTCATCACCAAACAAAGCAAACAAAAATTTTCAAAAAGCCAAGTAGCAAAGAAAGTGTTGAAAATAAAGAGCAAAGTAGGGTAGGGGACTTGCCCTACAATTATATATTAAAGCACCTATAACAGTAAAAATAATACACAATGATAGACAAATAATAGAGCCTAGAATAACAGATCCTAGCATATATGAAAATTTATATGATAAAAGGCATCACAAACTAATGAAAAATGAATGGGTGTTATTTTATAATGCAATGGAAAATACTATTTGGATAATTTTCATCATTACGTATGTCAGCATATATTCCCAAGAAATTTAAAGAATCTATTGAGGGAAAAAAATTTTTTTTAGTAATTTGGTTGGAGTATTTTTGAGACATAAAATCAGTGTAAGAAATCACAAAGGATAGTAACAGTCTTGAGTCCCTAAAATATTAAACTCAAATCAAAAACTACAAAAACTATGGCAAATAGTTAAAATCTAGATAACAAAATGGAGGAAAGTGTTTTCAACAAAAAGACAAGTTAATATTCTTAATTTTTTGTTTTTAAACGGAGTCTTGCTCTGTTGCACAGACTGAAAGCAATGATGCAGTCTCAGCTCACTGCATCCTCCGCCTTTTGGGTTCAAGTCATTCTCCTGTCTCAGCCTCCTGAGTAGCTGGGATTACAGGCATCTGCCGCCATGCCCAGCTAATTTTTATATTTTTTTGTGGAGACAGAGTTTCACCATGTTGGCCAGGGTGATCTCGAACTCCTGATCTCAGGTGATCCACCTGCATCGGCCTCCCAAAGTGCTGGGATTACAGGCATGAGCCACTGCACCCAGCCAATATTCTTAATTGATAAAGAACTATTTACATCCCAGTAATTTAAGCTACATTCCAAGTTTAAAATGGACACAGACATTTCACAAAAGAAATACGATTGACAGATAAACATGGTAATGTGATCCAATTCAGAAGAAATTTTACCCAGCTATAAGCAGTTGTTATTTGGGGGTATTGGGATACTTTACATTTTTCAATAGTTTCAGTATGAATTACTTTTATAATAAGGAAAAATATAAATATAATGTGTAAAGCCACCCAGTATGTTAGTATAGTGCTTCTAGGATATTATTTGATTGTATATATCAAGTCATAAAAATACATGTAATTATTAGTATTTCCATTCCTAAAAATTTTTTCTGGGGAAATAAATGTAAAGATCATGAAAGGGGAAAATATTTTCATGAATATGTTCCTTGTTACATTGTTTATTATAATGAAACATTAAAATCTGAATTTTTAAGAATTATGATATATTAGGTAGCCATTAAACCTGTTATATTAGGTAGCCATTAAAAATAATAATCACAAAGACTTTCAGTTCATGTAGAGAGTATTGATATTATATGAAGTAAGAAATACGGAATCAAAAATTGTATCTATAATTACATCTATTTAAAAACATGCATAAAATATAAATATACCTTAGAAGGAAAAATGGAAAAAGTAAAATAGCTATGTTAATGTTTTAAATGTGTTACATTAGTAAGATTGTGAGGAGTTTTCTTCCTATTCTATTTTGTCATAAAAATTGGGAGAAAGGAAAAAATACTCCAAGATGCATATCAGAGAAAGAAGAAAATAAAAATAACTATTTTATTCCCTATTTATATCTCCTATAGAAGGTTTATTTCCTCTTCTCAGCAGAAAGCCCTATTATCTTCTCATGTGATTGAGAAATGATGTCTCTAGTTTACCTTTAAATACATCCAAATATAGATGGATTAATAGATGTGTGATAAAAGTAAATATAGCAGAATGTTAGCATTGATGGAATCTAGGTGGCTTTTTCAACTTTTCTGTATTTTTGAAAAACATTTATGATAAAATGTTAGAAATAAATGATTTTGAATGCCCTTTAGGAGAAAATGAGAAAAATAATATCTAATCGTTAGAGTTACAAGTGATACTCACTAAGAATTATTTTTATTTCCTGTCTGCATTATAAATCAACATGTATACTGACCACCTCTGAGATACTGTCCTTAACAAGGTAGCATGTATCTGAAATAAACTGTGATCTCATGTATCTCTCTCTCCCCCCGACTCTCTCTCTCTCTCTCTCTCTCTCTCTCTCTAGCTACTTTGTTTTCCTTTATCTTACAAAAGACAGTCGATTCCTCACCATGAATATTATGAACAAGATGACTTCTGAAGTATGGTTGATAGATGGCCTGAGCCCTTGGGACCCACCAGTACTTATCCAGAAGCGTATACATGGGGTCCTTTACTATGTTGAACACAGAGATGATGAATTATACATTCTCACTAATGTTGGAGAGCCTACAGAATTTAAGGTAATCTGGATACTCCTTGTCCCCATTTGGGCTGTTAAGAAGTGTCACACTTCCATCAACAACATTTCTTGCTCTAAGAGTTCATCGTTTTATAAATTGATGCCACCTTCCTAGGTACAACCAATCCGATTTCTTTTCCCTTAGAGCTAATGCCTCTACATGTTTTAATTGTGCCTAAAAAGTTCGTAAATAAAACATTCTATCCTGAGCATATGTTATCGAAACCAAACTTGGCAGCTTAAAAGAGCAAACTTATAAACTTGTGATTTTATGAATTGGCAATGTGGATTGATCTCAGGCACTTCTTCTGCTGGTATCTGCTAAGCTCACTGATGTATCTGTAGTCAGCTAGCTGTCAGTGCCTTCACTCAAATGTCCAGTGGTTGGCTAAGCACTGAGTCATACTGTCTCCCCACCCAGCAGACTAGTCAGGACTCATTAATATGGTGATGGTCACACTTTATCCCTGATGCAAAGTTAGTTCCTTCAGCTCTTTATATGACAGTGAGGACTACTATGGTCTAGTTCTCAGTGATTTCATCTCTGGATGCTGTAGCCTTCATGTTTTCTTACCTATATGTCTTCTAACTTTGTTCCACATAGCTAATGAGAACAGCGGCTGATACCCCTGCAATTATGAATTGGGATTTGTTTTTTACAATGAAGAGAAATACAAAAGTAATAGACTTGGACATGTTTAAGGATCACTGTGTTCTATTTCTGAAGCACAGCAATCTCCTTTATGTTAACGTGATTGGTCTGGCTGATGATTCAGTTCGGTCTCTAAAGGTATGTTTAATTTTCAGCAGTTAATACTGTTAATCAAAATATATATGCAGTTTAGCTTAATGAAACATCACGTTTTGAATAGTAGCAGCAGTGTTCTTTTTCTTAAAAGGAATTTATTTTAAATGGAATTTAGCAAACTCAATGTCAGGTTTAGGAGGGTTATCTTAGAATTACTTAGAGGACCTTGCTTTTTATGCATTTTTACTTAAAATACTGTCTTAGAACATGGACTTCATAAGTAGAGTTAAGTGCTAATATTTCTCTTTCTGTATATCTCTCTATCACGTATCTCTACAACTTTTATGTATAGCAATAACTCAAACCAAACCTGGTAGCTAATGCCTAACCACTGACTGCTGCTCCCCCATCCCACATCCCCAGCAGGGACAGTAGTGTTACCCAGTGTGTTTTAGCCACTACATGTTGTGTCTGCATCATCATCTCTTTGCCAGTTTTCTTACCCACGGGGGATGCAGGGAACAAACTTAGGTTTCTTTCAGTGTAGGAGTAGCAGTGGTCTCCACAGCAGCACAGAAGGGTAATAGTGGCAAGACTGCTTGGCAGGGTGACTAGTTGATACTGCTTGTGGATACCAGGAAAGATAATTTGCCTTCACAAGTGAAATTCCTAAAATTGGTGAATGACAACTTTATTGCCTAGTTTTAAAGTAGCATTAACACGTCAGTTAAGGTAGTAGACACTGAAGGGAAGAGAATGGGTTCCATTTTGTTTGATATGAAAAGAGTTACTGAGCCAGTTGATGAGCAAACAGCATAGACAACTTAACACCTCCCAAACTCCAGTATTGTCAAAACTCCTGTCAAAATGCAATTTCAGTCAATTCAGTGGCTTTTTATTGAACTTTTATGTGCGTAATACTATATCAGGCATTATAGAGTGGAAAGCTGTTAAAGCAGAATATCTCAGCCTTGAAGATATAGTTAATCATAAGATTAGACTAGTACACAAAGATTTAATTAAGTAGTATCAAAAACATAAGATGTGCTGTGGGGCTCACACTAGAGAAGGAAGGTCCAGGAAAGCTTTTGGTAAAGTTGGTTGAATTTGAAATAAACCAAAGAGGAGAGAAACGATTTTGACAGGTGAAGAGATGGTATTCCAAGATGAGAAAGCCATCAGATGAAGCTCTATGCTGAAGCTCATCTGACATTCAGAAAATGTTTGAGGAACTGTTAATTGTTCTGTTTTATTGAAGCACTCTACATTTCTGGGAGATGAAGCCACGATTTGACTTTTTTTGAGTGTCAATATGAGGAATTTATTAATAAATTATGGAAGGTAACATTTGAAGTTTTTAAGCAGGGGAATGGTTTGAGGAGTGGCAGCCATATTAGGACACACTAAACCAAAAAGAAATGAGGAGCAGGGAGCTAGTTTTGAGATTGTTTTGTTGGTATAAATAAGAACTGGAATAACTGAAATTCTCCAGCTACTCCCTAAAATCAGAAGATCAAATGTAGTGTCCAGTCTCTTAGAACACTTTGTAATTGTTCTAAAACCAAAATGGTGATTGACTTGAGGGATTTCCTTATTGTCTTTATCTGCTGGAATGCAAAGTATTTCTTTTCACTTGCTAATTTTTTTAATTTGAATATTAGTACTTTAGATAGCATTTCTTTTAACTTTTACTTTCAGGGGTACATGTGCAGGTTGGTTCAGTAGACAAATTGTGTGTCACAGGGGTTTGATATACCTATTATTTTGTCACCCAGGTAATAAGCATGGTACCCAATAGGTAGCTTTTTAATCCTCATCTCCTTCAACCCTCAGGTAGGCCCCAGTGTCTATTATTCTCTTCCTTGTGTCCACATGTACTCAGTGTTTAGGTCCCACTTATAAGCAAGAACATGTGGTATTGGATTTTCTGTTCCTCTGTTGGCTCACTTAGGATAATGGCCTCCAGCTTCAACAATATTGCTGAAAAGAACATTATCTCCTTTTTTATGGCTGCATAGTATTCTGTGGTATATATGTACCACATTTTGTTTATCTAGTCTATCATTGATGGGCATTTAAATTGATTCCCTGTCTTTGCTATTGTGATGAACATAATGCATGCATGTGTCTTTATGGTAGAGCAATTTGTGTTCATTTGGTTATATACCTAGTAATGGGATTGCTGAGTTAAATGATAGTTCTGTTTTACATTCTTTGAGAAATTCCCAAACTGCTTTCCACAACGGCTAAACTTAGATTTCCACTAGCAGTGTATAAGCTTTCCCTTTTCTCCATAGTCTCACCATCATCTGTTGTATTTTGACTTTTTAACTACAGTCATTCTAACTGATGTGAGATGGTATTTCATTTTGGTTTGATTTCCATTTCTCTAATGATCAGTGATGTTGAGCATTTTTTTCATATGCCTGTTGTGGCTGCATCTGTGTCTTCTTTTAAAAATATTTGTTCATGTCCTTTGCCCACTTTTGTATGGGGTAGGGTTTTTTTCTGTTTTTGATTAATTGTTTGTTTTGCTTGTTAATTTAAGTTCCTTATAAATTCTGGATACTAGACCTTCTTCAGATGCATAGTTTGTGAATATTTCCTCCCATTCTGTAGGTTGTCTGTTTACTCTGTTGATAGTTTCTTTTGCTGTGCAGGAGCTCTTTAGTTTCCATTTGCCAGTTTTTGTTTTTGTTGCTATTGCTCTTAGCATCTTTGTCATAAAGTCTTTGCCTTTGTCTAGAATTGTATTTCTTAGGTTTTCTTCAAGGGCTTTTATTGTTTTAGGCTTCACATTTAAGTCTTTAGTTCATTTTGAGTTGATTTTTATATGTGGTATAAGGAAAGGGTCCAGTTTTCAGTCTTCTGCCTATGGCTAACCATTCACTTGTTAACTGATGCCAAATTTAGACATCTTCAGTTGGGAGACTGGTGGAGCATCTTCTTATTTCAGTCTATATGGATAGGAATGGGAGAGAATATATAATTTCTAGCAATGTACTTGTTTCCAAAAAATCTCATGTCAGGAAAGTTAGGAATATCATATGGAGTTTATTTTGCTATGATTTGACTTCTAAGTAAATATGACCTTTTCTATTTTTTGTAAGTATTCTTAAAGATATGCTCCAGTTTCTATGGTTTTAAATTCCACTAGAACAAACATTATGTCTTTAATTTATTCTGTATCTTCTATCTCTTCATTTTCTGACCCTTCCCAAATGATAGTACTATTATGACTTGTGTAATGTTCTAGTCATCATCAAGTGGAATTAAATACTACTTGGTCTTTCTGGTTAGTACCTGTATATAATAAAGAGAATTTTAGCCAGGCACGGTGGTGGCTCACGCCTATAATCCCAGCGCTTTGGGAGGCTGAGGCGGGCAAGTCACAAGGTCAGGACATCAAGATCATCCTGGCTAACATGGTGAAACCCCGTTTTTGTACTAAATATACAAAAAACTAGCCAGGCGTGGTGGCACGTGCCTGTAGTCCCAGCTACATGGGAGGCTGAGGTAAGAGAATCGCTTGAACCCGGGAGGCAGAGTTTACTGTGAGCCGAGATCACGCCATTGCACTCCATCCTGGGCAACAGAGCAAGACTCCATCTCAAAAAAAAAAAAAAAAGAATTTTATAGATTAGATCCTTTTTATGAACCTGGATAACATGAATTAATATCCATAGTCACTGCCACACACAAAAGACAGAATCTTTAACCAAACCATGAGTGCATTATAAAATATTTCTACGTGTAATAACTCTGCCTAGTGGGCAGTTGACTAAAAGATCTTTTTAAATTCAGTCTCATGCCTGTAATCCCAAGGTGAGCAGATCACCCGAGATCAGGAGTTTGAGACCACCCTGGCCAACATGGTGAAACCCTGCCTCTACTGAAAATGCAAAAACTAGCCAGGCATGGTGGCAGGCACCTGTAGTCCCAGCTATCCTGGAGGCTGAGGCAGGAAAGTTGCTTGAACCCAGGAGGTGGAGGGTGCAGTGAGCTGAGATCGTGCCTCTGCATTCCAGCCTGGGTGACAGAGCGAGACTCTGTCTCTAAATAAATAAATAAATTCTATCTTAGCAGTAGAAATGTAAAACCCTTCATATACTTGTCTCCTATCCTTGGTCATCATGCCATCAGTATTTTCTGGACGTATTTTTTTTTGGGGGGGTGTCACTATAAGAAGTTATTATACTTAATTTAGGCTAGTTGGGATTTTTTTGCTGTATGCTAACATCAGTTTTATTTAGAGGAGGAGCAGTCTGCATACTCAGGCCGATTTTCTTTCGGCCTATATGTCTTAATCATTCTTTTGATGAAATAACTATAATTTGCTGCTAGAGTGCTACAACTGAACCTGTTTCTGTCAGGTATCTAAGGAATGTCTGCCTGTTTCCTAGCCTACTTACTCTCTGGTGCTGTCCGTTAATATATACAGATACACTGCAGGCTTATCGCAGTAGGAAATGTGGCTTAAGATACCCTTGAGTTAGTTAATACTTATTTCTGCATTAGCTGGGTGAACTTTTTAAAAGCCCATAGCTTTGAAACAGTTTTTATTATGATTGAAACATTAATGTTGGTTCCATTAGTTTTAGAAAAAAAACAAAAAGACTTTTTGATTTTTGGAACCACTTGGTCTAAAGCTACATGGGTTACATAGAGACTGTCCTGAAGTCTGATTAAAAGGTGGAGAAACGGCCAGTCACGGTGGCTCAAGCCTGTAATCCCAGCACTTTGGGAGGCCGAGGCAGGTGGATCACAAGGTCGAGAGATCGAGACCAACCTGGTCAACATGGTGAAACCCTGTCTCTGCTAAAAAAAATACAAAAAATTAGCTGGGCATGGTGGCGCGTGCCTATAATCCCAGCTACTCAGGAGGCTGAGGCAGGAGAATTGCCTGAACCCAGGAGGCGGAGGTTGCAGTGAGCCGAGATTGCGCCATTGCACTCCAGCCTGGGTAACAAAAGCGAAACCCCGTCTCAAAAAAAAAAAAAAAAAAAAAAAGGTGGAGAAACGTGAGCTTCCATGGGCTAAGGAACCTTGTACCCTCACTCTGAGGCCTAGTTATGAGGTTGTAGCAGTGCTGCTTTTTTTTTTCTCCCTCTCAAGTCTCGGTTTGTGTACTTAGAACTATATGCTACCAGATTTCTCAACTTCTGTTTATATTTTACTCTTCAGTTATGGCTTAAATTTAAATATACAAATTATCCTTTAAAACAACCCTCAATTTGAGAAGAATGGGAACTTTTTGAGATTGCAAATGCATGTCCTTTTTCGTGTTTTATGAAAATAGATTTTTTTTAATTAATAAGAAATTTGTTCGGAGAACTTAAACTCTGGCTGTAGTTGCTGCAGGTGGAATGGTATCCTCTTTATGCACAAATCCCCTGGCTGCCTTTTTCAATAGTGCCCACCAGTGATGTTTCTGTGCCTCTGATTTTCTAAGGAATTTGCTCTTTCTACAATTACTCAGGAAAAGAAAGGCAATTTTCTTTTAATGTTCTGCCTCTCGGTACCATTTCTAACACTCTGTCAACCTGCTTACCAGAGTTCTTTAAAAGGTGTAAGAGGGATGTTAGTGGAAGGCTTTAAGCTGGACCCTGCTGATCTAAGAGAATAAATTTTGATTCCTTTCCTTTTTTCTTAAAGTTAAGAATCTTGAGCATAATAGCTGTGAGTCTCTTAGAGTAGATGTGCCAGAAAAGGTTTTGTTCTGCACAATGGTTAGCCTAGGAGCTAAAGTTGAAACAAATTGCAAATGCCTTAATGCTGCTGAGCCCGTTTGTAGCCCTGAAATAATAACTGTCATCACCGTGGCTGTCCAGGCAGCAGGGTAAGGACTGGTGGCTAAATTATTAAAAACACACGCATGTGAGGGATTTCATGTTCTTTGAGAGAACAGAGATCTTGGCAGTGTCTGTGGGTTTTGGAATTACTATTTGATTTGCTCTTATTCTTCCATTTTACTATTTTATTACCCAAGCTTATACCCCTAAATAAACTTTTCTATTAAAGGCAATTTCATGTAAAGCTAGAATCATGATAAATCCTTTTCCTATCATTTGTCTTATTTTATTGGTCATTAATGGTCAGTTTTGGTTTTTACATGAAATATATCTTGTTGTGATAAAGTAATCCTTGAATGAGGCATCATGTGATAACAGAAAGTAAACTAGATATCCATATCATCTTGTTTGGAAAGATTTAGAAATTTAATTAATGATACTTGGTGGCCTAAATAAAGAATAAAAATAACTTTTATTTCTGTAGCTCCCTCCTTGGGCCTGTGGATTCATAATGGATACAAATTCTGACCCAAAGAACTGCCCCTTTCAGCTTTGCTCTCCGATACGTCCCCCAAAATATTACACATACAAGTTTGCGGAAGGCAAACTGTTTGAGGAAACTGGGCACGAAGACCCGATCACAAAGACTAGTCGTGTTTTACGTCTAGAAGCCAAAAGCAAGGTAGGTCTTGTAATCTTCACTTTGAGCTCCCACTTACTGAAAGCATACTGTTGGCCAGGTGCCATGCAGTTGTTGGCGTTACATTAGCATGGTTTCCTAATGTAGATTTCTTAGACCATAGTAATACCCAGATGATTTTAGGGGTATGTGAATTTTTTTTAACCTTAATTTTCATGTTTGTTTGAACATGGATTAGAAAATTTATAGCATGTCAAGCTTTTTATTTCACATTTTTTATGTATGATTTTTTAAAAGTTGATTTTAAAAAATTAATAGAGGTGGTATGTAGTTACGACAAAAATAGTGAAGGTGGTAGCAGTTGACTAGAGTAAACTAGACTGATACAGTCCCTGCCCCCATGGAGCTTACATCTAGCAGGAAAGATGACAGATATTTAAAAAGTCATTAATAACCACTAGGATGATTAAGAATAAACTAGAAAGGAGACAGGAGATTCCATTTTGTACAGAGGCCCTGAATTTGGGGAGAAAGTATACAATTCAATAAGTGTAGGGCTGGCCAGGTACGGTGGCTCATGCCTGTAATGCCAGTGCTTTGGGAGGCTGAGGTGGGCAGATCACAAGGTCAGGAGGTCGAGACCAGCCTGGCCAACATGGTGAAACCCCATCTCTACTAAAAATACAAAAAATTAGCTGGGTGTGGTGGCAGGCACCTGTAATTGCAGCTACTCGGGAAGCTGAGGCAGAATTGCTTGAACCTGGGAAGCAGAGGTTACAGTGAGCCGAGACCGCACCATCACACTCCGGCCTGGGCAACAGAGCGAGACTCCATCCCAGAAAAAGTGTAAGGCTAGGCACAGTGGCTCAGACTTATAATCCCAACACTTCATGAGCCCAAGCTGGGAGGATCACTTGAGCCGAGGAGTTAGAGACAAATCTAGGCAACATAGTGAGACCTAATCTCTACACAAAACAAAAATATTAACTGGGCATGGTAACATATGCCTGTAGTCCCAGTTTCTTGGGAAGCTGAGGTGGTAGGATTGCTTGAGCCCAGGAGGTTGAGGCTGCAGTGAACTGTGATTGCCGCCATTGCATTCCAGCCTGAGTGACAGAGTTAGATCCTGTCTCAGAAAAAAAACAAATGTCAAGGAGGCCATTATGGCCAAAATCAAGTAAAGGATGGAAGATTGGTAGGATGAGGAATAGAGAGAAATGAGATGTAGAAAAGGAAATAACAAATATTCATATTCCAGGTATACTCAGTATACGCAATTTACAAATTTGTGCAAGCAGGGAACAAAAGATAAACTATAGCCTTGAATTTAAGGAATCCTCAGGTTTTAGCATATCATCTTTCAGATCATTTCACATGTGCTGACACAGAATGAATTACAACGCAAGCCTTTTATTAGGAATTTTTTTCTTTATTTTCTCTGAATATCTTTAAGTAAATATTGATATTTTCATATTATAAAAGCAGTACATGCTTGTTGGAATGGATGCAAAAATACAGAAGATATAAATCTTAAATGACTACTTCTCAGTACCATTTGCTTACTACACCTCTTAGAAATAATCATTGTTAGGCTGGACATAGTGGCTCATGCCAATAATCCCAGCACTTTGGGAGGCCGAGGCAGGCAGATCACGAAGTCAGGAGATGGAGACCAGTCTGGCCAACATGATGAAACCCGTCTTTACTAAAAATACAAAAAATTAGCTGGGCGTGCTGGTACGCGTCTATAATCCCAGCTACTCGGGAGGCTGAGGCAGGAGAATTGCTTGAAGCCCGGAGGTGGAGGTTGCATTGAGCCGATATCCTGCCACTGCACTCCAGCCTAGGCAACAAAGCGATACTCCATCTCAAAAAAAAATCATTTTTATCCATTTAGTGTACTATCTTTCAGATAAGGTTTTGGCTAGTTTTCTAAACCTGGAATTATACCAGTCTATCAAAATGTTGTAATTACTAGACCTGAAATGGAAAGAACAGTTAAGTGCCATGTTCTTGGAGAGCCAAGAGGGGAGAAGGGAAGCAGCTGCCGAGTGGAAGCTGGAAGCTGCTATACCTTTCCACGGCCATTTCAGTACTGCTGGCAAACCCAGGTCCAGCCCATCACAAGACTAGCTGTTCTACCTCCTCCTTTCACAAGTTTTCAACAAGCAAGTTCTTCTGCTTGTATAATTGAAATTGGGGAAGAGGTGGGGGTGAAAAGACCAAGATTGTTTTATAGAAATTAATCTGCATCAAGTTTTATAAAAGTGAATCTTACTAAAATAACAAGTTGGGTATTTTAAAGAAGAATGAGAGGAGGATTTCCTCCTTATTTGATAACACTTTGATGTCTCCAGTTATTGCCCCCAAGTAAAGTTTTCAAAATGAGAATGAAAATATGGAGAGTGACTTGGTTATATGATTTATTTTCTTTATGTAAAGTAGTGCTTTTTCATTCATTTCAAGCAGAGTGAAAACCAATTTTACCTTTTTTCTGTGAAAAGTAGATCAGAGGTAGTTCTTTTATCTGTTCAGAGACTGCATAGTTTCAATCAACTGGGATTGATGAGTTTGAGCTACATTGGGGAATGGTTACATAACTTAAAAGTAACTTTGTAACTCGACAAATAATTTAAATTACTTTAACCGTACAAAGAATTTTACCTAAAAATTTTAAAACCACTTAAAATTTTTTTTAATAAAGTTAAATGGGCCTTTGAAAAGGATTGTGGTAGTTAGCAGTAACGTCAGTAAGATTTCAAGTCTTAATGGTTGAGAATTCTGACTACAGAGGACAGAAAATTGAACTGGTAAGACTTTAATCAGCATATCTGAAGATACTCAAAAATGAGAAATTCCAGTATCTTGCTCTAGGCATAGGAAGAATTCTATACTGGGATTTCTAACCTTGGTAAGTATTTTGGTTTCACCTGAAAATTTAAAATTAGAGTTATAGTGGGTAGTGAAGAACTCTTTAAAATTATGTTATTGTCATGAAAAGCTGCATTTAATAAAATGTTTTTGGGCCAATCTTGCTACTCTTTTCTGGTTAATATTGTAGGACAGCAAGTTATCTGAAACCAAAAGCCATGATGTATTTTTAGAGACCATAATTCTTTTTCTTAAACAAATTTGTGCTCAACATCAGTAGATAGCACATAAGTGGGGACAGTGCACCTCAATATTTTAAATTGGGATAAAACTGTTATTAGAAAAGACCTCTTTACATACATAGTAATTGTTCATTTCTAGGATGGAAAATTAGTCCCAATGACTGTCTTCCACAAAACAGACTCTGAGGACTTGCAGAAGAAACCTCTCTTGGTACATGTATATGGAGCCTATGGAATGGATTTGAAAATGAATTTCAGACCTGAGAGGCGGGTCCTGGTGGATGATGGTTGGATATTAGCATATTGCCACGTTCGGTGAGTCAGTATATTTTAACCTGGCATGTGAGTGCCAGACCATTGTGATCGATATCCAGAATAGCAGTATATCAGGGAACAAAAGCTTATTTTTTTCATTTGTATTATTCGATTTATGTATTCCTAAACCAGTCCTAGTGAAACTTGATTCTTTAACAGATTAGCTGATCCAAAAAGCAAAAGGATAGATTTTTAGAATTTTTGCATAGATGTACCAGACTTTGTACGTATTTAGTAACATTATTATTTCCATTTAGTTCTCCTGAATTAAGGTTTAAGTAGCCTCTCAATCCGAACTCCTGTTTTCCATCTAACTTCCATTTTATTTCAGCTGTTTTCAAAACACGTATTATTTTATATTTCTGCTTAAAATTCTTCTCCACCTCTTAATCTCTAGAACAAAGTCCAGATTCCTCAGTATAATACTCCTAATGGTCTGATTGATCTATTGATCTCTGTAGTGGCATTTATCATCATATCCTTTTTTTTTTTTTTTTTTTTTTGAGACAGAGTTTTGCTTTGTCACCTGGACTGGAGTGCACTGGCACAATCTTGGCTCACTGCAACCCCTGCCTCCCAGGTTCAAGCAGTCCCCATACCTCAGGATCCTAAGTACCTGGGACTATAGGCACATGCCACCACATCATCTGATTTTTTTTTTTTTTTTTTTTTTTTTTTAAGAGACAGAGTATTGCTCTGTTGCTCAGGCTGGAGTGCAGTAGCATGATCTTAGCTCACTACAACCTCTGCCTCCCAGGTTCAAGCAATTCTCAGCCTCCCGAGTAGTTGGGATTATAGGCATGCACCACCACACCCATCTAATTTTTTGTATTTTTAGTAGAAACAGGGTTTCACTATGTTGGCCAGGCTGGTCTTAAACTCCTGACCTCAAGTGTTCTGCCTGCCTCAGCCTCCCAAAGTGTTGGGATTACAGGTGTGAGGCACCGTGTCTGGCCCCCAAAGTCATGTCCTTTTAAATGACATGCTCTGTCACCACCTTGCCCTTAAACATGCTGTGACTTATCTGTGTCTTAATGCCTTTTCTTTGCGCTCTGGAAACCCAAATTCCTCCTTCACAACTCAGTTTAGGTATCATCTCCTTAAAAGCATTTGTGTTCCTGACTCATATATATACCCCTCACCTGGCAGATAGGTATTCTTTCCTCTGCTCCTGTAATACCTTAAATACACTTGTGTGACCACACTGCTTGGTCACTTGTTGGTCATTGTTTTCTTAACCCACAAAATTACCTTCTCCAGGGTAGGGAATTTTTGTTTGTTTCTACTTTTAAGGTCTGTACTTAATCTCTAATAAATGGACCGGCACTCAACACGTATTTGTTGAATCAATTCTGGATTATCTGTATCAGGAGTTGACAAACCTTTTTCTCTGAAGAGCTACATAGTAACATTTTAGGCTTTGCAGGCCACATACAGTCTCCGTTGCATATTACTTGTTTTCACCCAATCTTTAAAAAGTAAAAACCATTCTTAGCTCCAGGGCCACACTAAAACAGGCTTCCAGGTGTAGTTTGCTGACCCCAGCCTACATCATTAACGGTTCTTTTTCCACTAAAACTTTTTTTGCCCTTCAATTTCAGGGGTGGTGGTGAGTTAGGCCTCCAGTGGCACGCAGACGGCCGTCTAACTAAAAAACTCAATGGCCTTGCTGACTTAGAGGCTTGCATTAAGACGCTTCATGGCCAAGGCTTTTCTCAGCCAAGTCTAACAACCCTGACTGCTTTCAGTGCTGGAGGGGTGCTTGCGGGAGCATTGTGTAATTCTAATCCAGAGCTGTTGAGAGCAGTGACTTTGGAGGTGAGTACACTCTGTCCCGACTGTTTATAGAATGGGGGAGGTGTAAAGCCATAGGCTGCTCTAAGAAAAACATTTCTGGGCTGGTGCAGTGGCTCATGCCTGTAATCCCAGCATTTTGGGAAACTAGGCTGATTGCTTGAGTCCAGGAGTTCGAGACAAGCTTGGGCAACATGGCCAGACCCTATCTCTACAAGAAGTACAAAACAAAACGAAAGAAGCTAGGCTTGGTGGCACATGCCTGTAATCCTAGGTACTTGGGCGGCTGAGGTAAGAGGATCACTTAAGAGGTTGAGGCTGCAGTGAAACACTGTGCTCCCTCCTGGGCAAGAGTGAGACTCTCTCAAAAAAAGGAAAGAAAAGGATTTCTGCATAGGAGTGTAACAAAGCTTTTAAGTTTTAAACTCAGAATTGTAGCTTTAGGAGAACTTTTAAAGTTATTTTAATCCAACTGTTAACCCTTATTCTCTTCTGACAGTGTTCTTTATTATTTTTAAAGATTTCTACTGTAAGATGTTAATGGCTATCTCTATTGCTCATTTATATTTGTAAGCACATTTAGAATTGGTGAAAAAGCACTGAAGCATATATGAGTCACAGTTCAGAAAGCCAGGAAGAGCATGCTGTGACTCTGGAATGCACTGAGTCCTTTGGCTGCTGGTCACCTTGACAGGCTGCTGCCTATCAACATTTCAGTCTTGGATTTAGAGGCTCTTTATTTTTAGATAATCCATTCTTAATGGTCATTGGTCTTTTGGGCATAGTTTTTCTGTATTTTAATTGAAATATCTTACCTTGTTCGGAAAATCTTTTATCTTTTCCCAGTGTCAAAAATTATGAAGTTACATTATAGCAGTTGGTTTCACTGCCATCTTAGATACTCTAAAAAATAATGACTGAAATGGGAGAGAATAAATCATTTTCAGAATTTTTATTTTGAGGGTGGGGAGTTTATAACTTGGGCTTGCAGATAAGTTTTAAATGGTACTCATCTGTAAGTCTGATTTTTAAAAGCAGAAAAATGTGGAGGAAAAAAGACCTATGCACAAAGATAATAATGGCAGAATTATTTACAGTTTAAAGAAAAAGCAACTAGCTTTTGACTTTTAGAAATGTAAAGGGAAATAATGAGAAATGTATGTGTAAGGATATTTATCTTAGGTTGCTTATTATAGTGCAGGAGACAACCCTTTATAAATGTTCAGCAATAGGGATACATGTGTAAATCAAAGTTCTCAAATATAAGCAGCAAAAACCAGCCCTGATTAATTTAAGCAGAAAAGGGCAGTAGGGAAGTGTAGGTATGTTCAGACCAGTGTTAGAGGTTACCCAGCCAAGGCATAGAATTGGCCCAGTGAAACTCTGACTGCTATTACTGCCACCACTGCCAAACACAAATCACCTCACACTGCCAGTGCAACTTCTAGAGCTGGATACAGCTGTGGCACTTTTGCCAGAATAAATTATCTGTGATCACCACTTCTTTGAATCACTAACTTCCCAGGCAGAGTATAGAGCACATGTGTCTGGTTGATAGACCCAAGTCACACATGAGTCACATAGCTACTCTAAAGCCGCAAGGGAAGCTGGGAAAGAGACTGTCTAGCATTAGTATCTCTACAATGAGAGGCAGGCTCTATCTGATAGGGTTGGAGGTTTTTCAAATGCAAAAAAAGATGACAGGCAGCCAAAAAGAATTACGGATGCCTTACTATACTTGGTTAATGTTAATACAAGGGAAAGCTAAAAAGCATGTTAAGAGAAGAATATAAAGCTAAGTGAAAAATACAGCCTTCATTTTTGTTTTGTTTTTTTGAGACAGAGTTTTGCTCTTTCACTCAGGCTGGAATGCAGTGGCGCACGATCACAGCTCTCTTCAGCCTCAACCTCTGCGGCTCAGGTGATCCTCCCAACCTCAGCCTCCTGAGTATCTGAGACTACAGGCATGTGCCACCATGCCCTGCTAATTTTTATGGGTTTTTGGGGTTTTTTTTTTTTTTGGTAGACATGGGGTTTCACCAGGTTGCCAGGCTGGTCTAACTCTTGGACTCAAGTGATTTGCTTACCTCAGCCTCCCAAAGTGCTGGGATTACAGGCATGAGCCACCATGTGTGACCCAGCCTTCATTTTATTAAATTTTGTAATACTAGTTATAAGCCAATGGGTTGTTTTCTCATCTTTCACGTTGGATGTTTTTCCAGGTTTCTTTACTTAGCGTTTTTTACTTTTAATATAAAATGTCAAACTAGTGAAAAAGATTTTACACCTTGCTGTGTTTTTTTCATTGTTAAAAAATTTTTAATTATGGTAAAATAACATAAAATTTACCATTTAAACCATTTTTAAGGGAATAGTTCAGTAGTAGTAACTGCATTCATATGATTTGCAATCTCCAGAACTCGATTTTCATCTTGCAAAACTGAAACCCTATACCAATTAAAAACTCACCATTTGCTTCTTCCTGCAGCCTCTGTCTCTGTGAATTTGACTACTCAAGCACCTCAGATAGGTGGAATCATAAAAAATATATATTTTTGTAACTGGTTTATTTCACTTAGATGATATCCTTGAGGTTCATCCATTTATTCCTTTTTAAGGCTGAATGATATTCCATGTAATATTGTATGTGTATACCACATTTGGCTTCCTCATCTTTCCATTAACGGACGCTTGAGTTGCTTCCACCTTTTGGTTATTGTGAATAATGCTGCTATGAACATAAGTACACAGATCTCTTCAAGACCCTGCTTTCAGTTTTGGGGATTATATGCCAGGAGTGGAATTGCTGGATCATATGGTAATCTTAAGCTTAATGTTTTGATGAACCACTATACTGTTTTCCATAGCAGCTGCCCCTTTTTATATTCCAGCCACCAGTGCATCAGGATTCCAGCTTCTCCACGTGATTGCCAATACTTTTTAAAAAACATAACCATCCTAATTGGTATGAGACGGTAGCATTTATTGCTTTTATATAAGAAAAAATATATATGAATAAAAGGTACCAAGCTAAATAAATATTGTGAAATTAGAAAATAAATAATTTCCTGTTACGTAAGTGGCATTTAAGGAGTCTGAAGACTTTAAAAGTAGGTTATAAATTACAGGCCCTGGTTAAGGACTGAGTATTCTAGCTCTTGGTAATCTGCATGGCTTCTTGAGTTATTTTCGCTCCTATCAATACGTATATTCATAAAATGTCATATTTTTCTGAAACTCACCAACCTCTTACTTGAAGTATAAGTTTCTTTGCCCTTTTTTTTAGGCACCTTTCTTGGATGTTCTCAACACCATGATGGACACTACACTTCCTCTGACATTAGAAGAATTAGAAGAATGGGGGAATCCTTCATCTGATGAAAAACACAAGAACTACATAAAACGTTACTGTCCCTATCAAAATATTAAACCTCAGGTAGTGAAAGACAATTGTGTTAGACTATCCTGAATTGATACAGAAGATAATTTTAAAAAAAACTTATTCAAACTGAAGAAAAGATGTTTCTACTTATAATACCTAAATATCTTCAGCACCATCTCTGCTCATGCTTCATGTTTAATACCTCAGGGGAATAGATTTATGCCTTAATTACTGATTAGCTAAGGTCCTTTAGTCAAGAAAAGGCTATTCCAGGTAACAAGTAGTCTAACTGTAATACTGAGGCTCTTTCAAGATATCAGGTGAGAAAAAGCTCAGAGCACTTGGAGAAAATTGGAGGTGATTATTTTTCATGGTCTCTATAGTAAAAAGGGACCATAAGAAATAATGTAGAACTCAATTTTAGAGTAGGTGCCATGCAGTGCTGAGAAGAATGTATATTCTGTGGATTTGGGGTGGAAAATTCTGTAGATGTCTATTAGGTCCACTTGGTCCAGATCTGAGTTCAAGTCCTGGATATCCTTGTTAATTTTCTGTCTCATTGATCTGTCTAATATTGACAGTGGAGTGTTAAAGTCTCCCACTATTATTGTGTGGGAGTCTAAGTCTCTTTGTAGGTCATTAAGAACTTGCTTCATGTACCTGGGTGCTCCTGTATCGGGTGTGTATATATTTAGGATCGTTAGTTCTTGATGCATTGATACGTTTACCATTATGTAATGCCCTTCTTTGTCTCTTTTGATCTTTGTTGGTATAAAGTCCATTTTATCAGAGACTAGGATTGCAACTCCTCCTTTTTTTTTTCCCTCTCCATTTGTTTGATAAATCTTCCTCCATCCTTTTATTTTTAGCCTATGTGTGTCCTTGCACGTGAGATGGGTTTCCTGAACACAACACACCAATTGGTTTTGACTTTTTATCCAATTCGCCAGTTTGTGTCTTTTGATTGGGGCATTTAGTCCATTTACATTTAAGGTGAATATTGTTATGTGTGAATTTGATCCTGGCATTTTGATGCTAGCTGGATGTTTTGCCCATTAGTTAATGCATTTTTTTCATTGTGTTGATGGTCTTTACCATTTGGTACATTTTTGGAGAGGCTGGTACCGGTTGTTCCTTTCTATGTTTAGTGCTTCTTTCAGTAGCTCTTGTAAGTCAGGCCTGGTGGTGACAAAAATCTCTCAGCAATTGCTTGCCCATAAAGGATTTTCTTTCTCCTTCGCTTATGAAGCTTTGTTTGGCTGGATATGAAATTCTAGGTTGAAAGTTCTTTTCTTTAAGGGTGTTGAAAATTGGCCCCCACTGTCTTCTGGCTTGTAGGGTTTCTGCGGAGAGGTCTGCTGTGAGTCTGATGGGCTTCCCTTTGTGGGTAACCTGACCTTTCTCTCTGGCTGCCCTTAGCATTTTTTCCTTCATTTCAACCCTGGTGAATCTGACGATTATGTGCCTTAGGGTTGCTCTTCTTGAGGAATATCTTTGTGGTGGTCTCTGTATTTCTGGGACTTGAATGTTGGCCTGCCTTGCTAGGTTGGGGAAGTTCTACTGGATAATATCCTGAAGAGTGTTTTCCAGCTTGGATTCATTCTCTCTGTCACATTCAGGTACACCTATCAAACGCAGATTAGATCTTTTCACAATAATCCCATATTTCTTGGAGGCTTTATTCATTTCTTTTCACTTTTTTTTCTCTATTCTTGCCTTCTCATTTTATTTCATTGAGTTGTTCCTCAATCTCTGATATCCTTTCTTCTGCTTGGTCAGTTCGGCTATTGAAACTTGTATATGCTTCATGAAGTTCTCGTGCTGTGTTTTTCAGCTCCATCAAGTCGTTTATATTCTTCTCTAAGCTGTTCGTTCTAGTTAGCATCTCATCTAACTTTTTTTCTAGGTTCTTAGTTTCTTTGCATTGGGTTAGCACATGTTCTTTTAGCTCTGAGAAATTTGTTATTACCCACTTCCTGAAGCCTGTTTCTGTCAATTCATCAGATTCATTCTCCATCCATCTTAGATCCTTAGCTGGTTCCAGGGATGCAAGGCTGGTTCAACATACACAAGTCTATAAGTATAATCCACCACATAAACAGAACCAAAGACAAAAACCACATGATTATCTCAATAGATACAGAGAAGGCCTTACAAAATTCAACAGCCCTTTATGCTAAAAACCCTCAATAAACCAGGTTATCGACAGAATGTATCTCAAAATAATAAAAGCTGTTTACAGCAAACCTACAGCCAATATACTGAATGGGCAAAAACTGGAAGCATTCCCTTTGAAATATGGCACTAGACAAGGATGCCCTCTCTCACCACTCCTATTCAATATAGTATTGGAAGTTCTAGCCAGAGCAATTAGGCAAGAAAAAAAAGTAAAGAGTATTCAATTAGAAAAGAGGAAGTCAAATTGTCTCTATTTGCAGACAACATGATTGTATATTTAGAAGACCCTATCATCTCAGCCCAAAATCTCCTTAAACTGATGAGCAACTTCAGCAAAGTCTCAGAATACAAAATCAATGTGCAGAAATCACAAGCATTTCTATACAGCAGTAACAGACTAACAGAGAGCCAAATCAAGAGCAAACTCCCATTCACAATTGCTACAAAGAGAATAAAATACCTAGGAATACAACTAACAAAGGATATAAAGGACCTCTTCAAGGAGAACTACAAACCACTGCTCAAGAAAAACAAGAGAGGACACAAACAGATGGAAAAACATTCCATAGTCATCGTTAGGAAGAATCAATATGAAAGTGGCCATAGTGCCCAAAGTAATTTATAGATACAACGCTATCCCCATCAAGCTACCATTGACCTTCTTCACAGAACTGGAAAAAAACACTTTAAATTTCAAATGGAACCAAAAGAGCCCGCATAGCCAAAACAATCCTAAGCAAAAAGAACAAAGCTGGAGGCATCACACTACCTGACTTCAGCTGTACTACAAGGCTACAGTAATCCAAACAGCATGGTACTGGTATAAAAACAGAGATTCAGATCAGTGGAACAGAACAGAGGCCTTGGAAGCAATTCCACACATCTACAACCATCTGATCTTTGACAAACCTGACAAAAGCAAGCAATGGGGAAAGGATTCCCTGTTTAATAAATGGTGTTGGGAAACTGCCCAGCCATGTGCAGAAAGCAGAAACTGGATCCCTTTCTTACACCTTACACTAAAATTAACACCAGATGAGTTAAAGATTTAAACATACGATGTAACACCATAAAAACCTTAGAAGAAAACCTAGGCAGTACCATTCAGGACATAGGCATAGGCAAAGACTTCATGACTAAAACACCAAAAGCAATGGCAACAAAAGCCAAAATAGACAAATGGGATCTAATTGAACTTAAGAGCTTCTGCACAATAAAAGAAAGAATCATTAGTGTGAACTAACAACCAAGAGAACGGGAAAAAATTTTTGCAATCTACCCATCTGACAAAGGGCTAATATCCAGAATCTACAAAGAACTAAAACAGCTTTACAAGAAAAAAACAAACCCATCTAAAAGTGGGAGAAGGATATGAACAGACACTTTTCAAAAGAAGACATCTGTGAGGCCAGGAAACATTTGAAAAAACGTTTATCATCACTGATTATTAGAGAAATGCAAATCAAATCCACACTGAGATACCACCTCACGCCAGTTAGAATGGTGATCATTAAAAAATCTGGAGACAACAGATGCTGGAGAGGATGTGGAGAAATAGGAACACTTTTACACTGTTGGTGGGAGTGTAAACTAGTTCAACCATTATGGAAGACAGTGTGGTGCTTCCTCAAGGACCTAGAAATACAAATTCCATTTGACCCAGCAATCCCATTACTGGGTCAGTATATATATACCCAAAGGATTATAAATCATTCTGTTATATAGACACATGCACACACATGTTCATAGCGGCACTGTTTACAATAGTAAAGACCTGGAACCAACCCAAATGCCCATCAACGATAGACTGGACAAGGAACATGTGGCACATAGACACCATGGAATTCTATGCAGCCATAAAAAACGATGAGTTCGTGTCTTTTGTAGGGACATGGATGAATCTGGAAACCATCATTCTCAGCAAGCTGACACAAGAACAGAAAAACGCCATATGTCCTCACTCATAGGCAGGTGTTGAACAATGAGAACACATGGACACAGAGAGGGGAACATCACACACTGGGGTCTATTGGGGGCGCCAAGGGAGGGACAGCAGGGATGGGTGGGGAGGGATAACATGGGGAGAAATGCCAGATGTAGGTGATGGGGGGGGGGATGGAGGCAGCAAACCACATTGCCATGTGTGTACCTATGCAACAATCCTGCATGATCTGCACATGTACCCTAGAACCTAAAGTACAATTAAAAAATAAACATACAATTTTGTATAACTACATCAAAAAAAAAAGGTAAATTCTTTGTGCATGTATTTTCTTTCAGCATTATCCTTCAATTCACATAACGGCATATGAAAATGATGAACGTGTACCTCTGAAAGGAATTGTAAGCTATACTGAGAAACTCAAGGAAGCCATCATGGAGCATACTAAGGATACAGGAGAAGGTAGGAGACCACCTAGAAGCAGGGAACATGGCCAAACAGACTACTACCCATGGCATACTTTCAGAGTAATGTATTTCAGGCTGCAACCAAATCATCTGCCCAGGATTTAAGCCAAACAGTTGTTATCCTATGTTGCCCACCCAGTTAAAGTGTACGTAGCTACATAACTACGTATACTGCCTCGCCTCTTTTTCAAAGGACAATATTAAAATGGGTAGGCAGACACAAAGAAATAAATTTAAGGCTCAAATATAACTTGGAGATGTACTGCTGTACAGTTATTCATTTAACAATATTTATTGAGCCATTATCCTTGGGAATCTCTAAAAGATGGATTCTGAGGTTTTTGCTTTGGGCCACCAGTGCCCAGACTTTTTAGGTGCTTGAATTTCCTTTAGATAGTTGTTTCAGCTTTATGAGATAAGAATCCCTCCTTTTTGCCTTGCAACTGCATGCTAAGTCAGACAGTTTTCCCTGTATTCCTCTCCATTTATCACTCCCACACATTGCTATAGTTGACGTTTTCAGGGCAGAAGACTGATTCCACAGGGCAGGTTGATGATCTCCTGGGTTTCAACCTTCTCCATGTGGCACCACATAGTCTTTTCCATACAGCCTCTTCTTGCTTTCCCTATGTCAGGAGTTTGTCTTCTGCTGCTTGTCCCCTCCCATCTTTTTGTTGATGATCGTGGTTTTTCCTTTTTATTCCTTCACTGTTATTTGAACTGAGTACTCAAAGAACGGGAGAAATGGGTCTGGATCTTCCAAAGAAGATTCCCAACAGTCTTCTAATTGTTCTACATGTTAACTCTTTCAGGTTATCAGGCCCCTAATATTATTCTAGATATTCAGCCTGGAGGCAATCATGTCATTGAGGATTCTCACAAAAAGGTATGTTATCAAGCCCCTCTGTAGACAGATACCTGAACTAGAGAGATGTTGTATTTATAAGTTTTCAGTGGTTGCAGCAGGATTTATGACAAAGCTACTTTGCAAATGTCCTGTCTATGGGTGAGAACTAGGAGGGGATGGTGGGGCACTGTGTCAATCAAGAGAAATGTCTCTAGTACTTGATAAGTGAGCTCTGTTAAAGAACATAATTTAATCTTAATTGTTGGAAGCCTGCTGTCTCTCTCCCAAATAAAAGTATTCTTGCCATAAATTGCTGACTTCAGGGTTAGGTGAAGATGGATAGACAAAGAGAAGTTTCAACAGTGGCATTTTACTACAAAGGCCTTCTAATTTTTAAAATGTGTTTCTTTTAGATTACAGCCCAAATTAAATTCCTGTACGAGGAACTTGGACTGGACAGCACCAGTGTTTTCGAGGATCTTAAGAAATATATGAAATTCTGAAACACTGCTTTCAACTGGGAATTGGAAACACTGAAATATTTGGTAGTGTTACTTCCAATTGAGTTAGCAAAAAAAAAAAATTAGTTACTTAGAGATTTTGAAGTTATTAATCTTTTAAAATGTGCTTCTCCATCTAAATTGTGCTTAGTCTACATCTCACTTGCTTATACTGTTCTCTCCATTGATGCACATGCCCATTAACCTAGGAAAGTAGTTTTCAAATCATGCTCCTTAGAAGGACATGGAGTTGGGGCCAAGGGAAGGATTGGTGACAGCAGAACTCCAGGCCTCCCTTCCAGTCAGAACAGTTGAGCAGTTTACAAATCAGTGTCCTGCCTCTTTGCTAGCAAATGCTTTTAGACACTGGCAGGGAGTCATCCTCTGATTTCTAAGACTGCATTTTAAGGGAAAATATCACATTCTTCCCATTAAAATGTGTTAAGAGTTTTTGAATAATCTGGGGTCCTAATGTGTTCTGGTCATCCCTGATTGATGCTATCTCAATAAAGTTATAAGCTCCCATAAGTGATAATTTACTTTTAAACATTTTATTTTTTCAAAACATTTGAGAACCCTTCTTAAAGCAGTTACGTTCAAGCTACAGAAATATCTAAGAATGAATGATTGTTCACCAAGCAGCGTGCTGTACATGAAGCTACTACAAATGCTTACAATCCCAATGAAATGCCAGTGTCTTCATCTCTTTGTAAAGGTGCCTAACACGAGGTATACAGTATATTCAGTACACTGGAATAGCATGCTCGATTGGAAACAAAGCATCTATCTCTGAAAGCTGTTTGGCGATGAAGGAGATTCTTCGTGTTGTGTTCAAGGATGAGTCCATCTCCCTTTGCCAGAAAAATGCCACTGGTATCAACTTCACTGCCTTTGTTGGTAGAATTGGTACTTAACCTTATTCTCACTCTAGTGGGAAGGCCTGAAATCATATTCTGTAGATTTAGCAGTGTCGATTCTCCAAAATTCAGAACGACGATAAAGATTCTGTCTATGCCATCCAGCTCTCTTGTGTACACAACATAGTGGCTGTCGTTCCTCAAATGGCAAAACCAGCCCCTGCTGAGGAGTAGCTCATTGGCATGAAGTAGACTTAAGTCTTGATATAACTTCAAAGCCGATCTGGGCTGAGTCATTTGGACCTGTTTTTTAAAAAAAGTATTCACATAAGTGATTCTAAGAATTGTTTGTAAGTATTTTTAATATATTGTAAGGAGTTATTTCCCGAAAACACTCGCTTCAGTTTTGCCCCGTATAATTTGCCAAATTGTAAGCATCAATAGGTAGGTAAGAATAATTCATCTAAAAACTGATAGAAATGACAAATTCAGGGTTTCAGCTTATCTAGGAGTCATTAAAGCTTGCACAGCGCTCTGCTACATTGTAGAGTTTCTGTAGAGACCAAATTTGATTCCACTTTAGGAATCCCAAAACAAACGTCCAAGTCTAAGTTGATGAATAATTTACTCGTGTAAAGTCACTCTGTACTGTATTGTAACTGCCAGATGCCCAGAAGGAAAGCAGTGATGTACTCAGACTTCTGAGGAATTGGGGCTTGTTTGTTCCCCTTTGTAGAATAATGTGGAGGCTGCTGTTGTGCAAAGATCACGTACTTTTAGCAGACATGTATTTCTTGCACAGCTAATAGAAGAGAAAGTTGAAAAAAGGATGCAAAATAAATAGCTGCCTAAGGTGGAAGTTAGAAATTGTACATTTTTTTTTTTACCGTAAAAGTAGTATGTGTTCATTAACACATACTACTTTTATGGCAAAAAAAAAAGTAGTATGTGTTAATGTATGTTTTATATAGCTGTAAAATAAACCCAAATAATCTTTGGATTTATTTTACAGCTATATAAAACATACATAATTTGATGATGTACTTATAACATTTCAAGCATTTTCTGTTACTGACTATATAACTTCCACAAATGTTTTTAATGACAATATTCTGTTGAATGGTTGTGCCATACTTAACCACTCCCTTTCATTTTGACATTTGTGTTTCTAATATTTTCTATTTTTATTCCCCTCCTCCCATTTTTATATTTTAGATTATCAGAGAGACACTTTGTCAAAGAATATGGACACTTGATACATAATGCCAAATTCTTCATAAGAGCTGTTGCCAAATCAATGATAATGTTTATTTACTTGTACTCTTGCCAGCCATGTTTACTGGGGTGGTGGTGGTTATTGTAGTGGTGTTGTTCTTTAGGGGTGGATTCCCAATATGTGGTCTTTAAATAATTATCTAATAATGGGTGTTTGAAAAAATGTTTATTCTGTTGGTCAGGTACACAGGTATTTATGATACATGTATATGACTTGTCAAAGTTAATAACATTTTCTCTAGCCTTAGGTAATGCATGAAAGCGCGTTTCAGTGCCACTCATATAAGAAGTGCCCAGTAAGTGTCAACTATTATTGTCTACTTGTTACTACTTTCTAGAAATATGTTGAATTCTTTTTCTGTAATTGCAGATTTGTCAGTTTTACATTTCTGAGTATTTTATATATATATTGAAGCTGTTGTTAGATGCATATTCATGATTTTTAGTGGAATGTTTTATCAGTTTTTCAAAATTGCCTTTGTCTCATATAATGCTTTTCATATTGAACTATATTTTGTCTGCTATTAAATATTTCCAAGCCTCATTTTTATGATTTTTTTATTCAATTACAAGAAGAATACATACTATAAAAAGGTTTTAACATGGTTCCATAGCTTCACAGTTCCCCTCAGAGACAGACACTATTACTACTTATGTGTTGTTTTGTTTTTATGTATCATATGAAATGATACATTCTGTGCCTATGTAAACATGTTTACATATTTTTCTTTACACAATTGGTGGCATGTTCCCATTCTATACTTTATTTAATACATGTTAGAAATGGTCTCATATCAATGTATATAGAACTCTAATTTTTAAAAGCTGCATACTGGGCCCACAATTGATAGAACTGGTTTTATATTGATAAAATATCTAAATCATTTCTAGTGTCTTCTATTAACAAGTGTTGCAGGCTAGGCATGGTAGTTCACACCTGTAATCCTAGCGCTTTGGGAGGCCAAGGCAGGTGGATCACCTGAGGTCAGGAGATCAAGACCAGCCTAGCCAACATAGTGAAACACCATCTCTACTAAAAAAAAAAAAAAAAAAATACAAAAATTAGCCAGGCATGATCATGTGCACCTGTAATCCCACCTACTTGGGAGGCTGAGGGAAGAGAATCGCTTGAACCCGGGAGGTGGAGGCTGCAGTGAGCCAAGATCATGCCACTGCACTCTAGCCTGGGTGACAGAGCAAGACTCTGTCTCAAAAAAAAAAAAAAAAAAAAAAAGTGTTGCGATCCCTTGAGTATTTATCATTGTGCACCTATGCAAATATTTCTAAATATAAGTATCTAGGAATGGAATCATTTGGTCAAAAGGTAATTGCATTTTTTTTTGTTTATAGCTATAGCTGAGTTGCAAGCTTTCTTTTTATTCTTTGCTTGCTTTATCTTCAATTCTTTGTCTTTCGTTTTAAAGCTGTGTCTCATATCTGTATTTTGTCTTGTTAGCTGAGTGGTTTTATCTTTTAATAGGCTAATTTAACCCATTCACATTTGTGATTATTGTTATGTTTAGACATAATTCTGAAGCCCTATTTTATCTTTTATTTGTGGTTATATGGGGTTTTTTTCTGTTAAGCTTTTTATTGGATTGACTATAATTTTTTTCTTCTAGTGTTTGAAAATTTGTATATCTGTCCAAATTTTACCATTAAAATTATGACCACTTTAAAATAATTTTTCTCAACATCTAGAACAATGCTGACCAATAGAACTTTCTGTAATGCTGGAAACATTCTATATCTGTGCTATCCAATATGGCAGCTACTGAGCACTTAAAGTGTTAGTATAACATGGGAACTAATTTTATTTATTTTTCAGAGTCTCTCTCTGTTCCCCAGACTGGAGTGCAGTGGCACAATCATGGCTCACTGCAGCCTCAACATCCTTGGATCAAGTGATCCTCCCACCTCAGCCTCCTAAGTAGCTGGGAATACAGGTGTGTGCCATCATGCCCAGCTAATTTTTTCTTTTAAGAGATGGGGGTCTCACTATGTTGCCCAGACTTGTCTCAAACTCCTGGGATCAAATGATCCTCCCGCCTTGGCCTCCCAAAGTGCTGGGATTATAGGCATGAGTCACCATACCCAGCAGGAAGTAAATGTCCAATTCTGTTTAATGTTAATAGTCATAGTGGTTAATGGCTACTGAACAGCTCAAATATGTACTCTTTTTCCTGTGCACCCCCTCCCACCCACACACCCTCCCTGCTAACATTTCCCACATAGAATCAAATCACTAAGATTTTTGTTCCAGAATACCTTGTTTTACATTGTGTATCAAAATTTTTAAAAAATCAAATTAGATTGTTTCCTTTTCCTTCTTTTAATACACTGTATCTCCATTTTAGATTCGTTGTGTTTTGTTTTGCAGGATAGTCCCTTCACTATTCTTTCAGAAAGTAGCCACACATGGTAAAATGTGGGTCCTTGCTTTCCATCTCTATTTTGCTCTCTTACATGCCAGTTTGAATGGACATAGAATTCTAGGGTTTAGAATTCAGTTTCCATTACAGCTTGGAAGTTAGAGTTGTAATGTGTTACAGTATCCAACTGAGAAGTCTGATGCTAGTTCAATTTTCAACCCTTTTCTCAGGCAGTCCATTTTCAGGTTTGGTTTCTTTCTGAGTAGTTTTGGAGTTTTCTCTTTATCCTAGCTGTTCTAAAGGAAGATAAAGTCTTCCTTTATCTCTGGGTTATGTGTTTTATTTATTTGATTATAGTCTCCTGCATTCTGTTCTCCTGTGCAATTGTTGCTGCATGTTGGAATTCTGCATCTATCTTCCATGTATCCAAATTTTTCTTATGTTCTTAATTGTTTGCCTTTTTCAGTACATTCTGGACAAACCCCTGGATCAATTTTTCAGCACACTAAATAGCACTTATGTTCTATTTTATGTCATTGTGTGACAGTCTTTTACACTTCTGAGGTATCTAATCACTTCTTTAAAGAATATCAAGGAGCTCCATTAAACCATCTACTGGGGGTATTTGTACTTGTATTGAAGTCTTATGTTTGCTGTATTTTCTGCTTTTACAGTGTTCTGTTAGGAATGGTGTCTCCCTTTCATGTCTTTGTTTTTGTCAGATACTGTGTGATTCTTGATCTGTCTGCTTTTGTGTTTTGACCTTCCTTGTTTGTCTTCAGTTGTCTGCCTCTCATAATTGTGAGAAGCCAAGATGGACATGGATCTGACATGTCTTTGGGACGTTGGTTCTTTTCCTACTTGAAGGTGATAAGCTTGCTAGATTTCCACCTTTTTTTCTCCTGGCCCCTGTAACTCTGTGAGCTGAGTAGTAAAAGCTGTCCTTTCTGAGAGCATTCCACAGTGAATTCTCACCAAGGACAGCACTAGAGTTAAGTCTTGTTTTCCTTCTTTTCTTTCTTCTG